ATCGATACGCGGTTTTTTGGATAAATTCGATGAATTACCTAATGAAAAGAATTTCAAGAACGTCTTAGACAATTTAGTAATTATTAAACTAAGATTAGAAAAAATCTCTAGTAATTTTGGGTCATTGTCCTGCAAATCCCACGAGATTTTCAGATCCAAGCAACAAAAATACAAATAATTCTTGCTTGTGTATATAGATTTTCAAAAAACGTATAGATCTGTAGTTATTCTGTTCCTAACCTGCGATTCCACCATGTCTTGAATAAAATGATTTCCCAGTGGTTTTGAGCGCCGTACCATTTTTTATTGACGAACTGACTTGGACATTCTTGCGAATACTCCACACGTTGTCCAAGTCAAAACCTTCAAACACGAAAAGTTTTTTTCCAAACATCAAATCAAATACCACAGCATTTAAAGCTAAAAGAAAGCTTCAAAATCTCTTACCTGGTGAAGAAGTGGTTCTTTTTTTGGTATTTATTGGCTTATTTTGCGAAGTAATGTGAAAATCATCACCGTCGTCTTGATCGCGCCATGGGTCATTTTTCTGCGCCGTTGATTTGTATAAGAATCTGTTAGTTTTTTGGCCTGAAAATTCACCACAACAAACTGTTAATACTAATTTATCATTAGGTGATCAGAACGGAACACTATTGGCATGAAATCGATAGTTTTACCGTCGTTGCTGTTGTTGTTTAGACGGCCATCCTTTCTCGACCCCATCTTTCTTGTTGTCAACCATATAGTAGTACCTAGTTCCCTCACGGTTACAGCCAGACTTAGGGGGAGGGGGACGGTAGTACTGAGACCAAAGAAACTTGCCGCTTTTTTCTTAAATGTAACTGTGAAAACTGCCTCTGATATCAGATTAAGATATTCTGAAATCCCTAGACTCTTGCTGTTGCTTGCGATAAAAGGATTTGGGATCAGCTGATATAAATTCAAGGCCATCTGTCTCAGTTATCAGCATTTCTTAGAAGAAGCGCGCATATGTCTTTTTCTTCAGAGGCCGGAAATTGGCAGAGCTCGCGTCGGCAGCTGCGTTCCCTACTTTAAGCAAAAAAGCACTATTTTCTTATAATAATGAGYTGTTGACAAGCCAATTTGCCATTTGCTATTGAATCTGAAGTACTTTCAAGTAATGTTTCGGGCAACTAATTTCTAAACTGTTATTAGCAATGTAAAACCAGAAAGAACAARCAATTTCTTGATGATACATTTATTTTAACTGTTTTATAAAACTARGATTGACCAAGAAACGCTAAAATCTTTAGACTAGACAAAGTCACTTGCTAAAATACAACATTTTTCTAACGCAGCTTTTTTAAGTTGAAATCTTTCTAA